TATGGGCCATACCATACCAAATCGCACACTTTTTTCTCTTCATATATCAGATTTCTTCTAAATTTTGCCATTTAGTAGAGTCTGGGTTAGTATTTAAATAAGCTAAAAAAGCCTGAACAAATGAATTCCCCGCCAAGTTACTCCCCCTCAAAGTTGCAAAGTCTACCAGGTTGTTGCTTGACATGCTCACCTTTGTAAACTTGTAATTTAGCTTGTTCTTGATACAGTTCGACAAATCTTACATGTTCTGAATTTTCAGATGCATATTAAATGTTTTAACTCTGATATGAAATCACTTAGATATAGTAAAAATAATATTTGAAACAAGCAAAGAAAAAAAGTGTCTTTAAATGTCTTGAAAAACATATATTTTACGTAGAATTTTTTGCTCTACAACATATCAAATTTTGGTGACGACCATTTTATTGGTACTGAGATATACGGGTCAGAAAGAGATGTGAAATCGAAAAGAAACCTGCTGTTTTTACATCTGCTACAAAAATCTGGTGTGCTTTAAGCGTTGAAAATTTGTTTCAAAAGCTGTATTTTACTTCAAAATATTACAAATTATTATTTTGCGTGTAAAGACTGTCTTCTTTTTCAATGTCTCCTGCTTCTTGTGCTTTATTTCGTTAAAATTATACACTAGTATACAGTCTAGAGTTACGAAAGAGTCTAGAATTTACTGCTTTACCTGGTTAGCTGGTAAATTAAGATTTACTTTGGACTTCCTGTGTTTCTGGAGAACTGCAACATGTAATTTCAAAGAAAGAACGACAAGTTCAGCTTGTGCAACCAAAATTCTAACAAGTATACTCTCGCCTTACTTCTATGAGCCTAGTAACTACGAAACACAAAAATAGAGAACACTAGGATGAACTACTTTCTACAATCCTGCGGCATAATTGATTGTTAATATTTTGAAGTAAAATGCAAATTTTGTACCAAATTTGGATGCTTGAAGCATACTGGATTTTTGTATCAGGTTTCTGCGGCTTTCAGAGGCGGCTCAGGATGGTTTTGCCAAGTAGAATACATGGGATTATTGTGAAAAAAAAAAAAACAGGTTTTTCCAGTTTCACAATTCTTTCTGGCTTGTAAATCTAGATAAAAAAAATCGTCGTCACCAAAATCTGATACATTGTAGTGCAAAAAATCCTGTACAAAATATATCTTTTTCAAAAAATTCAAGAGCACGTTTTTTTTCTATGTTTATGTGAAATATTACTTTTACTATATCTATGTTATTTTGTAATAAGCTTAAAGCCTTTAACAATTCAGACCATGAAAAATCTAATAAATAAATATTTGTTAAAATTGAGGTCAGATTGAATTACAAGTTTGCAAAATAGGCATGGTAAGCGGCAACGTGGCGGATTTTGCAACTTTGAGGGAGTGTTACATGGCGGGTAATTTATTTTTCCAGACTTTTTTTCGGCTTTCTGTACATTGGCCTAGACTTGACTAACAGCAAAATTTTAAAAAGACCTGAGATGTAAAGGAAAAGAAGTATGCAATTTGGCATGGAATAGCCCATTTATATAGTTTGTTTTTGATATGTAGCTACGGTCTAGAAATTTTCTCAAAGAATCATATGCTTGGTTTAGACGGGTTTTTTGCAATACTTTACAATAATACGAAAAGGCGCATGCAAGTACTCACAGATTCATAGGTAGACGCGTATATTTCTCAAACGTTCACCACGATGGTAGATTACGTTCTGAAAACTCAAAATAATTTAGAATTCTGATTAAGTAACCTGCAAATAGGCGAAATATTGTAGTGGCATTGCGCAGCAGTTTTTAAAAGTTCAGTTGTTATATCGTAAAAGAAAAAATTTCCTCTGAACTTTTTCCTGACAGTGATGATTTTAGATGGAAGGATAGAGGACCAATTGCAGTAAATTAAAGTGGAGCAGTAAGTGAGCAAGAAGCGGACACAAAACCAAATTTTCTGAGCTTTCTTAAAAAAGAAAAGGCTTTTCTTGATTGCTCGTTAAAGGCTGAGAAGAGGTTTCTTTCTTTAAAAGCTGAAGTGGTAAACAGGATGTCGGCATTGTAAAAGAAAACTTTCTCAGATGAGCTGACAAAATTCAGCAACTACTTAGTCATTCACTCATTCGCTTACTGATTCATTTATTAATTCAGTTACTTATTCAGCTCAGTAGTTAAACAGATGCTTAGTTTACCTGAAGTTGATCAGTTATACAACGATAACAACTACAGCAGATACTGCAGTAGCAATTTTGAATGGATTAAAGAAACCATTGAACAAAAAAGATTTATTTAGGGAATACTATATTTATTTACTTTCTTACTGACTATCGGTTAATGTTTTCTTTTTTGATTTTTTTTTTTGTAGGGAAATAAAATTTTGTTGTTGTTGTTGTAATGTTTTTTGATTTGTTTCTCATTTTCTGTCATTAATGCAAGATTACATAAGTGGTACAATAGTTTCTGTATTTTTTCGATTCCCTGTTATCACTGACAATATTTGTAATCAGAATTTTAATCAAAGTATTTTCAATAGTAATGTTAATCAGCGGGATAACAATCAGGATCACTGTGGAAGGTTCATTGGTAACACCGGCAAATCGCCATCTGAATTACATCATCACTGTAAACCAGCTGAACAATCTTGTAATGCACTAGCTGCTAACTAAAGACTTTATAAAGGACTGAAATCTAGATGCTAACTGACTTCTAGACCAATTTTGCAGACGGTCCAGTAACTCATCTGCACAGTAATTACAGTGGTTAAGAAGAAACATGGAAAGCACAACGTTATTAGCAGTGTGTGAAAAAACTTATCTGTTTATAGGTCGCTCAATGAGCAGTAATCAGATAGGCGGCCAATAATTAAAAATACTTTTTTCTTAAACGACTAAATAAAAATTTCAGCTTGTTTAACAGTATCTTGTGATAATAAGAAAAAAGATATCGCAATCAAAAAAAAAAAATCAACACAAGAACTTCCTACAAATTAGCAAAAAAAAAAAAAAAAAAAAAAAAAAAAAAAA